GATAAAAAAGAGGGAGAGAGAGAGGGACTAACGTAAAGTGCATGAAATCAGTCCATAACCACTACTGCCCCTACAGCTTTCATCTTCTCAATAATTTTCTCGGCTTCTTCCTTAGAAACTCCCTTCTTAAGAACAGAAGGAGTTTTCTCCACCAAATCCTTAGCTTCCTTTAATCCCAAATCTGTAAAACTCCGTATCTCTTTAATGACCTTGAGCTTTGAAGCTGCATCATAAGACTCTATCTTGAGCTCAAAGGCCGTCTTTTCGGGCTTCTTTTCTTCCTTAGCTGCAGCTGCTCCAGTATTCATGGCCACTCCAGCAGCACCTGGCTTCATTACACCAACAACAGGCATCTCCTTCATACCTAATTTCCTCATCATTATAGTAGAAAGCTCAGCAGTTTCAACGAGCGTGAGTCCAGATATTTCATCGACGAGACTCCATACCCTATCGGTTGGGGGACTACGATGCTCCGTAGGGTCAAAGTTTGCGGGATCATAATCAGCTGGGAGCCTTCTTTGGTCAATCTCTACTTCTTCATCTTCATCCTCCGACTTTGCCGCTTGACCAAAGTGTCTGATTGACTTAACGGAAAAAGGTGTGAAAGATTCATCTACACCACCAAATATGAAATATTATAAGCGGTGAGAACCATGCTAAAACAACTTAACATAGTAGCCATGTAAAAAAAAGTTAGTGATGCAGAAAATGTAAAAAAGAGGCATCTTTATAGCAAGTATACCATGGACCTTGCACATTTGACGAATCTGTAAGCCCAAAGTTACAAAATCAATAGTGAGCATGAAAACTAAATAACTATAGTCTTGATTCTTTTCATGAATATCAAAGTAAAGCAACCTTCTCGATTCACATATGGACTCGGCAGCATAGAATCATTTCAACCACAAATTGAAAATCTTAGTTTTCAATAGAAATGCATACAACTGCAAATTAACTTTCAAAAATCAATATTCGACCTAAATTTCACACAAGTCAGAAGCCAAAAATCTAGAAAGAAGAAAAACGAAAGAAAATCGGGATATTTTCACGATTAGGGAAAGAGAGAAAAAGAGACCTGAGGACGGTGGAGAGAAGAAGTTCCGTGAATGATTGAGGAGAGCAGGGTGAAAACCATTAGCGGAAAAGCAATGTGTAGAGGTCCTCTCCACGGCGACGGCGGCGGCGGCGGCGGCGGCGGCGGCGGAGGAGGAGGAGAGTATGGTGTTGTTATCGGTGATGGAAGACGATCGAGCAGCTAAACGACGTAGTAAAATCAGTCTCATCATCCCTCTCATCTCGTCTTCCCCAAAATTGCACCAAGGGCTTTGGATTTCAATTTGGCAGGAATCGGAAACCTACAAAAGGAAACTTAGATTTGCACCAAAATCAAATAAAATTGGGGGCCCGCCTGTTAACGGGCTTTGGGCTTTTCATCTCGTCGGCCAAGCCCGCACATATAATAGAGGCACTCAAACATCTTCCGCTTCTTTTCTAACTCAGCAAATTATCAATTTTTTCTTACTCAATACTTTTTGGGAATTAGATAAAAGTCCCACTAAATTGCGTATTTAGATGGACGATTAAAGTAGCATTTTAAAAGTAAAAAAATAATTATTGACATAAAAATTATAATAACAAAATGTATTGCATTATTATAATAAAATACAATAGAACCTCGATAAATTAATACCATCGTTTAAATAATAGTTTTTTCCGTTCCCAACTCCGTAAAAACCTACTAAATTATTAGTTCGATAATTTAATATTTCACTAAATTAATAGAATTTTGCTCGTCCAGACTCTATTAATTTATAAATGTTTAATTGTATATTAGTAATATTTAAATTACAATATTTATACAAACATGATAATACAAATCCACTACGCAAAAGGTTATAAAAATTTAATTGTGTCCGCAAGGGATGACTTAGCGTTTGGAGCAAGTGGTATTGTGTCAATTGACCCAAGTTCAAGTCCCATTGTCAATGGTCGCTAGGTCGAATTTGTCACACATGGTTAGCCTAGTGTGATTTACGTCTTTCGTATTGTTCGCTAGGTCGAGTTTTTTTTCTTTTTGAAAATTATTAGAATATTTGGAAAAATTTGAGTATCCTGAATTTTTTTCAATAAATATATTTTGAAATATTGAAAATATAAATTCAATTTTTTTCGAATTTATATAAAATTAAATTTGGAAATAATATATTTACATGTGATGTGGTAAACGTTTAAGTGAGTGTACAAATGTTAAATATGAAAGAACTTAAATACGTACATAGATCCTATGGACAACTAATCAAAATAACATACTAAATTAAAATAACAACTAATCAATTGTGGAATCCACCTCATCAATTTAATGACAACTAAGCAATTTTGATAAATGACATAGACATTTGCGACATGTCATTCATATAGGGCATAGATCCTCTTTTTATATTATGTATAGATTTTATAGGGAAATTTATCTTATCTTAACTAATTTATCTTAGCAACTAAACGAGCCCTAAGTATTATGGGGAAATGAGGGATAACCCCCTAGTTTTGAAAATATATAGGGATAGGTCCTATGGATTTTTCTTTCCTAGTCAAAAATCCAAATTATAATCTAAATTTGATAGACCCCCCTAGACAAATTGAAATACCAATTTTGCCCTTTTATTTACAATTTAAAACCCTAACCCTCTCACCAACTCTCGTTAATTTCTCTCTCCCTTCTCCCAGCTGTTTTCTCTTCTCTCTCCCTCCTCCCACGTTTTCTCTCTCAAATTTTTTGTTCTCTTCTCTCTCTCACCTCCCACCGTCGCTTCTCCGCTTCCCCGCCTTCTCCGTCGCTCCGCCTCTCCGCTGCTCCGCCGTGCTCCGTCGTGCTCCTCCGCCGCTCCGCCGTACTCCTCCGTGCTCCGCCGTGCTCCGTCGTGCTCCTCCGTGCTCCGCCGTGCTCCATCGTGCTCCGCTGCTCCGCACCGACTCCACTGCTCCGTCACCCCCTTGTGCCGTTGCTCCGCCAAAGTCTTGCGCCACGGCCTTGTGCCGGCCGTCGTTGCACCTCCCACCGCCTTGAACTCGGTACTAAACCATTCACTTCACCTTTTTAAGTTATTTTTTTTTAATTTATGAATGCCAATCCATTTTTAATTTATTTTTTAAGATCTGAATTCTTATCACTATTTCACCTTATTTTATTGTTTTTTTTATGAAAACCCACTGAATTCGAAAATTTTAAATTGTGATCTGACGATGTGTAGTCAGATCTAATGGTGAATTTCAGATCTGGAATTGGTGGTGTTCGATTTGCATATATTTACTGCATTTATATAAAAAAAATAAAAACCATATCTACTATGTTTTTGAAGATCTGTGAACAATTAATATTAAAATATTTTTCTTTGGATTAATTTGATTTTTTTATTATAAATCATATGTAATTTATTTTTTGTATTTATTTGAAGATAATTCGAAATGCCTAAAGTGTGAGAGCTTTGTTTGTCTGTAATGAAAAAAATTTAACTAGTAGTGGTTACTTACATGGGTGATTTGAGTCAGGTGAATATACAATTATATTTAGTCATACACAGTCATGTATAGTCAGTCACATGTAGTCATGTATAGTCATGGCTACATATAACTATACATGACTATAGGACTTGTAGTATAATATAGTCATTTGTAGTCGATTTCAGTTCAGTAAATTTATCAACAAAAAAAATCATGTTTTTTTTGTTTTTTTCATGTAATTTGAATTTTTTTTTAATTATAACTCATATGTAATTTATTTTTTGTATATATTTGAAGATGATTCGAAATGCCTAATGTGTGAGAGCTTTGTTTGTTTGTAATAGAAATTTAACCAGTAGTGGTTACTTACATGGGTGATTTGAGTCAGGTGAATATACAGTTATATTTAGTCATGTACACTCATATGTACGTAGTCATGTATAGTTATGGCTACATATAACTATACATGACTACAGGACTTGTAGTATACTATAGTCATTTGTAGTCGATTTCAGTTGAGTAAATTTATCAACAAAAAAAAAAAATCATGTTTTTTTTTTTCTGTATTTTTCATGTAATCTAACTCGCATGTTCCATTTTGCTATTTAACTCGTATTTTTTATTTGTCGCAGGTTTTGCTTTTATTATAATTTTATGACATGGAGAAAACAAGATTCGATAAAGTGTCTTTGTGAAGTTGGATTTATGTTACAGTAGTCTAGACTTTATGTCACTATATATAACTATAGATAATTGTAAATAACTATAGTCACTTGTAGTAACATATTGTTATATGTATGCTATAGGTTTTTAATGTACATTAATACTTGTTCATGTTTGAAGAATATATGCATGTGATTGTATTTTTTCATTTTTTTGTTTGTTAGTTGATTTATATTATCAGATAAATTGTGAATTTTTTTTTGTTGGTGTATATGAATTTTGGGGTAAAAAGATAGTATATGACTACATATAATTATACATGACTACTGAACTAGTAGTACACTATAGTCACGTGTAGTATACTTTTAGTTCAGTAATTTTACCAAAATTTCAATTAATAAAAAAAATAATAATAAAAAAAAAATAAAAAAAAATTAATAAAACTCTAAATATTAAAAAAATATATTTTATAAACAAATAAAATAATAATAAAAACAGGTACAATATATATATATAGAGGAATAAAAAATTATTAAATTAAAAATTATGATATATGCAGTACAAACATACTAAATGCATGTCCAAAATGATAAGTGCAGTTGGTGAAAATGTTGAAAGTAGTTGGGCGAAAATTACAAATATATTATTGGTTATATAAGTAAATGGCTAAATGCATATGAAATGATTTGTATGGACATCCCCTAACGGTATACGGAAGATCAGCCATCCATCAAAACGTACAAAAATATACACACACACAACACACACATACTTCAACACTGAATATGGGTTCCAGATTCGCTGGAAAAGGGAAAAAAGAGAAAATGTCAACAAAACAAAGTCTTTGCGTTTCCTTCTCTGTTAATCTTTTTTGAGTGTGATTGTGCATGGGGCCATATTCCATTTTCCCCAATTTCTTACATGCTTTCATTTAATTTGGTTTCATTTTGAGGTGACGTAATAAATGAATATATATCAGGTTTGTGAATTCATATAATTAATTGACAGTTGAAATATGAATCAATGTTTTGATTATGATCATGATGCCAGTTTCCGTCACAATTTTCCCTAAATCAAGCATCTGTTATTTTTTTTATCTGCAGCAAAATTAATCTTGTAAAGCTCGCGAGGAGAATTAGAGTTGTTGAATTACAGGGACTAGTAACGAGACACAGGTATAGCAAGGCTTCGTGTTTTGCCATAATGTATGTATGTATGTATGTATGTATGTATGTACGTAGATGTTTATTTAAATTTCATATCTACTTTGCCAAAATTCATATATATATATTTGCATAATGTTATGAACCAGCTCCAACAGATGAAGATATAATATCAGCAATGCTTGATGAGCTTTGTTTCATCTTCCCTGTAGTTTTCCACTTCCATATGATCTAGCTGCTTATAGACGATCATTAAATTAAGGAAGGAGAAAACGTTACCTGTCGTTACAGTAAGACTGATATATAAATATTCACTTATTTCGTTTGCTCAACTATTATTGCATTTGCATCCATCTTTTATTTCTTTTGTTTTCGTGACCCAAAAAATGCAGACCTAGAAAAGAACAAAAAGGAAATGGCAATAGTGTTGAAAGAGAAAGACGATCTTAATCAAGAGATATCAAATATCAGATCTCAACTTAAAGCTGAAGCTCAACCTCAACAACTACACCTCAATCATATATCCAAAGAGTCTCTAAGTTTACTAATCGCGGAGTCAACAAATAGAGTTAATGAACTTGAGGATAGGTTAAAACTAACTCTAAGCTTACAAACAGAGTCTACGAATAAAGTGAAGGAGCTCGAAGATAGGTTAAAAGAGTCTGTCATCTTGCAAACCGAGTCGGCAAATAGAGTTAAGGAACTTGAAGATAGGTTAAAAGAGGTTGAAATCTTGCAAGCAGAGTCAACAAATAGAGTGAGGCAGGTTGAGGCATCCCTTGAATCGAAATCTGAATGGTGGAATAAGAAAGAAAATTTTTACCATACATTCACCGAATTTCAGCTCGGTGCACTACGTGTAATGCTTCTCTCTCTACAATCTTTATCATTATGTATCCATTTATTTGGATTAAGTGATTTCAATCGTATTGTTCATATATTTCATTTCAGGAACTAAAATTTGCATCTCAGTCGATACACCAAGAAATTGTGAAAACAAAGAAAAGCTATTCAGATGAATCCACTACTTTAGGTAATTCTAGTTTTTTTTTTATCCTTCTATGAAATTTATATTAATATAAACTAATCGCTGTAACAGGGTCAAGGATCAAGGCTCTAGATGATGCAGCGAATAACTATTATTCAATTCTTGCTGAAGATCGAAAGTTGCACAATGAACTGCAAGAGTTAAAAGGTGACGTACACATTATAGTTGAACATAAAATAGAACACACACACACTAAATTGGTGTATTTCCTTACGTGTTCATTTGAATAGGAAATATTAGGGTGTGTTGCCGGATAAGGCCATTTCTACCAGGGCAAAAAAGGAAACATTCGATTTTTGAGTACATTGGAGACAATGGTGACCTAATAGTTTCGGATCCATTCAAACGAGGCAAAGAAGGATTCCGCTCCTTCAAATTCGATAAAGTCTATAGCCCAGAAGCAACACAAGGTTATTTTATTTTTAACTTCAAGTAAAAAAAACTATCTATCTATATATGTTATTTCGATTAACATAAATTTCGAATTATCTGCAGCTGAAGTGTTTTCAGACACACAACCATTAGTACAATCCGTTTTGGATGGATACAACGTATGTATATTTGCGTATGGTCAGACTGGTTCAGGGAAAACCTACACCATGGTATGAAACTAACTATAATTAGGTTTGTTGTTATTTCAACTTATATTATTTATTGTTGGTTAAGTGAATGAAATCCTTTTCTCTCCAGAGTGGTCCTGATGGAGCAACAGAAGAAGAATGGGGGGTTAATTTTCGGGCTTTAAACAATTTTTTCCGTATTTCACAGAGTAGGGAGAGCAACTTTACATATGAAATTTCCGTCCAGATAGTGGAAATATATAACGAACAAGTCCGTGATTTGCTCGGAAAAAACGACGGTTCAGCAAAACGATATCCTCTTTTTAAAATTATTATGTTTCCAATCTCATATTTTTTGACACTAAATTTTGATCCATTATTGGTTATTACATACATGTTGCATCAAAAATACTTGTTATCCCTGACTTGCACACACTCGGGATTTTGTCAACGTCGCAACCCAATGGTTTGGCAGTGCCAGATGCTAGCATTCATGTGGTAAAATCAACCTCAGCTGTTTTGGAACTTATGGATATTGGACTAAATAATAGAGCCAAAAGTTCGACTGCCATGAATGAAAGAAGTAGTAGATCACACAGGTATTTCTATAATTATTGTTTTTCAAGATTCTTGTTTTATTATGCAATCGATGCATATGTATATAATTAGTGGCGTATGGATGAATACAGTATTGTGTCAATTCATGCGCGGGGGCTGGATCTAAAGAGTGGTTCTTCTCTACGAGGCAGTCTTCATTTAGTAGATCTTGCTGGAAGTGAAAGAATTGACCGTTCGGAAGTAACTGGAGACAGACTTAAAGAGGCACAGCATATAAACAAATCATTATCCGCACTTGGTGATGTCATCTTTGCTTTGGCACAAAAGAATTCTCACGTTCCTTATCGTAACAGCAAGCTCACTCAAGTCCTACAGAGCTCCTTAGGTATTATAATTGGTGGTTTTTTTTTTTTTTTTTAATTCTTTTGATACGAGTTATTTAAATATATTGAATATTGGTTATGCAATGAGTAATGAAAAAGTGGTTGATTATCAGATGGTCAGGCAAAGATAGTTATGTTTGTGCAGCTGAATCCAGATGCTAGTTCGTATAATGAAACCTTACATACACTAAAGTTTGCTGAAAGGGTATCTAGTACTGTTGAGTTGGCAAAGATGTTCGTGAGTTGATGGAACAGGTAACACAACATTATACCATTTTTTTTTGTTCGCCATCTTCTTCTACTTCTTTTTCTTCTTACTCATGACGGAGGCGGTGATTGATTTCTTGATTTTGGTGGATTTGGGATAATCTTCGTTAGGCTTGATGTCCATGCCGGAATTTTTGACTTTCTTGAGGAAGTAGGTGTTTCAATGATTCTTGTTCTCATTTTCCATGCAACCTGGCATTTTACCGGTGATCACTGACCATCGATTGCCCAAAAACCTATACAACCGTTACAATTGAACCCTGTTCATCTTCACTTATACTGTGTGGAGGTGGTGTAATGAATTTGAAGGGTGTTTCAGACATTTACCCTCCAAACATATAGTATTCCTACGAATCAACTCAAGAAAACATTGGATTTTTTATTACTAGTAATTTGACCCGTACGATGCATGGGTCTGAATAGAATTATTGCAAAATCAATATCAATTCAAATCATAAAATTGAGATTTTAGAATTAAAAAAAAAAAAAAAAAAACCTCCATCTACAGATGTTTGGTCTTCAAAATAAAAACTAGACGAAACATCTCTTGTTCTTACTGTTTTTTTCATAAAATTAACATTTGGGCACGAAATTGTAATACGTCTATGGGGATTGCCATTAATGCAACAATGATATATTTCTCAAATATCACTCGATAAGGAAAAAAATCTTTAGTGGTCGGCAAAATATACATTGGCAGCGTCAATATGAGCATCACTAATAAGAAGGTAAATTCATCATCGAGCAATGGTCACGAAAGACCCATCTCCTGTTACGAAAACAATATATACATTCCGTGAATATCACCAGGGATCCCTTAGGTCTCTCAGAGACAACAAAACGGAGTATTGATATCAAAAGAATATATACTCGTAGATGCTCGTAGTAGGTATTATTATAGGTTTGAAAAGTGGGAAAAATATAAATAGTATATTTCTATTGGAAAAATTGTTAAGAAAAATAAGAATTTCCAAGTGAAAATTCTCAAACAAACACAATCTGAGTTTTATGTATAGTATAAAACTGTACATTGATTTTGGAAAAAGAAACAAACATGACCTAAATTACCTCAATAACCGCGTCACTTCTCAATTTAACATTAATTTTCTCACGATTAGGCCTAATTCTTGTAGATGTAATTTATTCTACAAACACTTGGTGTAATAGGATTTACTCTCCAAATATCACAATTACGAGAAGTAGGATTATTACATGTTCTTCATGAATGAAAATATGTGTATAGCATTTTATAATAATGTATTAATAGTAGCTTAGTTTAGAGCATTTATGACCGGTTTCACTATCTTTTCGCCAAATCCCATTTTTTGTGGTGAAAAAATGGGTACATCTCCTATCGGTAGCACACCATTTTACCCTTTCACCATTTTTTGTGGAAAAATGGTGTTTTTGGTCTCCAATGAATTTCACCGAAATTTAGATCAAATATTAAAATAATAATATTTCACCATTTCACTACTTATAGGAAATGGATTAGGTTTGGTCTCCCCCATAACATTTCACTATATATGCCCCAAAACTGTAAATTTAATATTTATCGTAATTTTAGTATATTTTATTTGCTAAATATTAATTATAGATCCAATTTTAAGTAATAAATTTTTTAACTATATAATTTAAAAATTATGTTATTAATTTTACAAAATTATATAAACATTAAATAATAAGAACTCAAACTATTTTACATATAATAACTCATACATAAACAATAATCTCATAAATTATGGCCAAGGGATGGGGGCGAGGGATTTCGCCTTTCCTATGTGCTAATTTACTCATATGCTAATTAAATCGGTAATCAGGTGCAATTAGTTACAATCATCATCTATATGCTAATTAATAAAATGGTGTTAATTACACCAAATCCTATTTTCATCTCTATATTTGGTAGTAAAAATAGGATTTGGTGGAAAAAATAGGAAAATGGTGGATGGGTGGGAGATGAAAATTCCTTCATTAAAAAATTTAGTGAAAAATAGGATTTGGGTATTTGGTGATATGGAGGTTAACCACGGTTGGAGGCTAAAATCAAATCTCTAAAATTTTAGATTTAATGGTGATATAAGAATTTTGGGTGGGAAGCTAAAAACATCTAAATTAGATGAAAAAATGGCGATATAGTGACCGGTCGGAGATGCTCATCAAATCGAATTATTAAAACACAATAATGCCTTTAAATTATCGGCAACTTGTTGAGAAATATGTTCAACGGATATTATTATCTCATCTTCTTCATCATATCCTGCAACAAATATCACGCACGCGCCTAAAAAAAAAGGGATAGTCAATTAAAGTTAAAACATTCCATGAGAAAAGATATCAAGCTTTGCACTGATGGCTAATGAAGACATACTTTTGTGGCCAATATAGAAAACTTATAATAAAATAAGTTTGCTATTCCAAGAGATAAGTGCAATTTCGTTAACGGCAAAGAAAAATAGAGTACCGTACACATTGTGTGTTAGAGTATTTTCCATGCATGTCTAGTTATTTAATCCAAGTTCAGAAATATGAAGCAAAACAGATTTCCAAAATCTGTCAGACAACTTAAAATAAAATCTCTCACTGCATCTTGACTTTTGTCATACAATGATGTAATACAATGCAAAAAGTGTAAGCCTTACATATCATATGTTGTGAAAAATAGAAAACTTGATGGAAAGATGTTAAAATACTTTAAATAAATCAGATACAAATATTTAATCAATTTGAGAAACATAAATAGAGTATAAATTCACACAGATTCAAAACATAATTTGGTTTTTGAGAAAGTTGTCAAACGAAGATTTCTTGCAAAAGATGTCTAACTATTTAAATTGATCCTACAATTTCATTCAAGAAAGTCAAATATTTAGGCGAAAAATTGATCCTAGACTGCTAACTCATTACTTTACCAAATAACGAAGAGATAACAATTGAGGCTACAAAAATATTCGAGGGATATATAACCCAAAGGAGAACTCGAGCCCAAAAAACATGCACTTTATTTTAGAAAGAACATAAAAATAATATAACGAGGAAATTTTATATTCGATCAATATCAGGAATGATGAAGCCAGAGACCACCACTGCGAACCAATCATATTGAAAGGAGTTCAAGTTAAGGCAAAAACAAAAGAGATACCAACACTGCACTGCAACAAATATATTAAAAACATTTTGTTCTCCCAAGAAAATCAATATGCGGAAGAGAAACCGATTGACAAAGAGAGGGTTATGATTGCGTGAACGTAATATTGTTATGATATAAACAAAAATGGAGACATCTACAATATAGTTTACTCTGATCGAACTTCACATCCAAACAAATAATATAAAAAAACATCAAGAAATATACCTCTTGTCAAGATTGTTGTTCATTGCATAAATGTGACGGCCCATCGATGATGTTGAGAGTTTCGACATTGATGACGACGCGGGAAGTGGCGGTGAAGACACAGCCACGACCATCTTCTTCCACCGCTCCACGAACAAATGATTCATTTGCTTATTATGCGACTGATTTGAAAAAAACCTAGATTTAATTAGCATTTTTAACCAATTATTAAATTGTAAGAGATATCTACACTTCCCATAAATCGCTAATCTTTGGTAAATCTGCTAATTTCAGCAGCCCAAAAAAATGAAAAAAACATAGTTTGCTAGTATTAGTATTAGTACTAGTAATAATATCGACATTACTATCAGTATTAATATTAGTATGAGTATCAATATCAGTATGAGTATCAAAGTGGCGGACCCAGGGGGGTTTTCTTGGGGGGCTGAAATATAGGGGTAATTTAAGAAAGGAATTTTTTTTTTTGTTTTTAGGACTAAAGTGTACAAAATTAAAAGTTTGGGGGGGGGGGGGGGGCGAAAGTCCAGTAATTAATACATAAATCCCCAAAAAAAAAAAAAAAAAAAAAAAAACAGCTTAAATTTTTTTTCTTGGGGGGGCGGGGGCCACCCACCCACAAGGTTGGGTACGCCCCCGAGTATCAATATCAATATTACTATCCATATCATTATTAGCATTAGTATTAGCATTAATATTAATGTATTAGTATTAGTATCAGTATCAGTATGCATCAACATCTACATCAACATCAACATGCGCATAAGTATCAATATCAGTATTAGTACTGAGTACTGGTATGAGTGTGAGTATGATTATGAGTACGAATATCAGTATCAGTATCAATAATAATATCAGTAATAGCAATATTAATATTAATAGTAATAGTATTAGTATTAGTATCACAATCAGTATCAATAATATCAGTATATGGATCAGTATCAGTAATAGTAATATTAATAGTAATAGTAATAATATTAGTATCACAATCAGTATTAATACTATTATTAATATGAGTATCACTATCATTATCAATAATAGTATTAGTATGAGTATCGCTATCAGTATCAATAATAATATTTAATAATATTAGTATCACTATAAGTATTAGTAATAATACTTATAATAGTAAGAATATAAGTATCAGTACTAGTACTTGTACTACTACTAGTATTAATGTTTATATTGTCATTAATGACGTCACTTTATCTATAGTCTATAGTCTATAGTATATTATTATTTTTTTTTTACTTATAAAAGAAGGAATCCTATGGTGGTTTCTTCCCTTTTACGTAGAGACAAAAATACCCTTTGATAAATTCAAACTTTGAAGGACAATTGAGTAATATAAACTGATTGTTAATTATTATAAATTAATATTATCTTGTGATATTAAATAATTATATTATTAACTATTGTCAAATATAGTCTGGATAAGTTTAAACTAATAAGGTCAATTTATGTAACAAAAAATCTAGATGCACGTACAATAGAATTACCAAAAACAATAATACCAACAGAACATTTTAATATTAGTTTTAATTATCTTAACATATATAGTTATCTAAAATATTATTAAAAAATCTCTTCATTTAATTAGTTAGTATCAAATTTCTTCTAGTTGAATAATTTTTATCACTCTCCGAATTTTGAGTAGCTATATTAACTAATATCTATGTTTACTAATAAAAAAATAGTTTATAAAATTCATACTTTTATCAATGCCAATCAATAATTACTATAATATGTAAGATTAGAAGTACGAGTAATATAAATAAATAATTAATTAGTTTTGTTTATTTATAAAAATAAGGGTTAATCTCAAAAAGGCCCATGATAAGGGCATTTAATTAAAAGAGGGACATCCAACTTTTTTGTCTTTCAAATAAATCCAGCTCGTCCAAACTTATTTGCAAATAAGGAAAAACCCTTTATATATACTAAAATTACCCTCAATTCATTGAAACCCAATTCAACTCTAATTTCATGATTTACACCTTAATTTAGCCCAATTTCACCAACTAACCAATTTTAACCATAATTTCAATTTTGACCAGCCACCACCGGAGACCGCCGGTCAGCCGTCGTTGACCGCCGGTCTCCGGCGTTGACTTTTTTTTTTTTTTTAAACTTTTTTTTTCTCAATTGTTTTTCCGGTAGGTCAACCGCCGTTCACTGCCGAGTTTCCAGCGCTGACCTTTTTTTTTATAATTTTTTTTCTTAAAAAAATATATTAATTAATATTACTATCTTGGCTGCTAAATTACTATCTCTAGCAGTTATTTAACTGTCGGAGACAGTACTTTAACTGTTAATTGACTTTTTTTTTCTTAATTTTTTTTTAATTAATATTACTGTCTTGGCTGCTAAAGTACTGTCTCTAGCAGTTATTTAACTGTCGGAGAAAGTAATTTAACTGTTAATTGACTTTGTTTTTTCTTAAAAAAATATTTTAATTAATATTACTGTCTTAATTATTGTCTCAAACAGTTAATTAACTGTCGGAGACAGTAATTTAACTGTTAATTGACCTTTTTTTTTTCTTAAAAAATATATTTTAATTAATATTACTGTCTTCGTTGCTACTGTCTCCAGCAGTTATTTAACTGTCGGCGACAGTAATTAACTATTAATTGACTTTTTTTTTATTTTTTTTTTTGAAATTTTGTTTTTTCTTAAAAAAGAATATTTTAATTAATATTATTGTCGTGGCTGCTACTGTCTCAGACAGTAATATTACTATTTGGGACACTAATATTAGTAATATTACTGTTCGGAAATATAATATTCATAATATTACTGTCCCAAACAGTAATATTACTGCCTGAGACAATAATTTAGCAGCCAAGACAGTAATATTAATTAAAATAATCTTTTCTAAGAAAAAACAAAATTTAAAAAAAAAAGAAAAGGTTGTCAACGTCGGAATCTGGCCGGAAAAAAAAAATTCAGAAAAAAAAAATATTTTGTCAAAAAATTATTATTTGGGGTTAATATGATATATTTGTTTAGATCCGAGGTCACGGTATAATATTAAGGAAGTTAGAGCATAATGGATGGAATTGATAAGAATTATATTATGGAGGGTATTTTAGACTAAAGACATGTGGATGTGTTTATTTGAAAGACTGTTTTTTTGTGGACCAATGTGCATTTAAGTCCCTTGTGATGGACCTTTTAGTCATTCGCCCTAAAAATAAATTGTAATCTTTCATTGAATAAATTTTCCATAATTCAGGAATACTCAATTATTATTGAAGAAAAACTATCTGATTCCTAATGATTGTTCAACTAATTCCTAATGTATTTATTAATATTTAATTAATAACAACTTTATTGAGATGGAAATTTGTATGGTCTTAAGTCTTTAGTGTACATTCATAATACCCCAAACAATTTTTGTTTGGCGGCCGTTATATGCAAGCCCATTTTTTTATTAGTTCAAGACCTCTAACATGAAAATACTAATTTACCCTTAATGAAATTCAAAAGTAAATAAAAAACACAAAATATTAAAAAAATAAAAAATATATTTCCTTTGTGCAAGACCAAATAAAATACATAACCCTAGAAATCTCCTTTCATTATTTCACGACTTAAAAATCTCCTCCTTCTTTTTCACAAAGCCACCAAGAAATCCTACACGTCGAAATTATCAAATACACATTTTGAAATGAAAAATCGGTGCTAGAGAAACCCTACACGTCGAAATTATCAAATACACATTTTCAAACACAAAATATCAAAAACAGACATATAACGGTGCTAGAGAACCGATTTTGAAATGAAAAATCGGTTCTAGAAAACCGATTTCTCTTTGCAAAATCGGTTCTCTAGCACCGATATTTTTCTGTTTTTCCAAAATTAAAATAAAAAAGTTGTAAATCGGTACAGGAAAACAAAATTTTATCAAGAATCTATGTTCGATTGATGTTATCGTATGTACAAACAAAAGTTTCATAAGAGGGCCTTACTTGTTGGTGGTGGTGGTGATGGTGCGGTGGAGATGGTTTGGTGGTGGTGATGGTGCGGTGGTGGTGGCTTGCTGATCGTCGCCGGCTGTCTGGTGGTGGTCGTGCGGCAGTCTTGGGCGGTGGTCGTGCGGTGGTCTTCTGCGGTAGACGTGCGGCGGTCTTCTGCCAAGGTCGTGCGGCCGTTTTGTTTTTACGTATTCTTTTTTTTTTTAATTTCTTTTGAGTTTTTTATTTTTTGGTTTTGTACAAATAAAAAAGTAGGGTTAATTTGTATTTAGGTATTATTTAAGGATAAGGGTATATTCGTCCTCTTTGGTCTTGCTATAATAAAATTAAATTAATTTATGGGTTTGAACTAATAAATCTCTTAATATGGGTTTGAACTAATAAAAAAATGGGCTTGCATATAACGGCCGCCTTTTTGTTTAAATAAAACCACATAAAAGACAAAATAATATATATTTTTGCAATCTATTTTATGCACTACGCATACAAAAAATAAGGTTATCATAATCCACCAAGGCACCACCACCTACAACCATAAAAAATGTGGAGAATCAGACAGGAACCACCGGCAGCTACATAACATCTTATACCGATTTTTCAAGCGATAGCTCTTCGCATTTTGCGGTTTCAATAACGGCCAGCGATGCCGATTTACACGGTGACGGGAATGAATTTAATAATTATTAGACAAATTACGAGAAAACTTCTGAGGTAAGGTCTAAATACAAAAATCCCCCTCATATTTGCGCGATTACAAAAAACCTCTGAGGTCGTCTTACACAGTCTCCCTACGGTGTTACTTTAAATGGAATCTTTTTTTATTCCATGGAATATTCATCTGAAAAGGTCATTTTGGCCCTGTTGGGTAATTGTAAGCATATAAATTATTTAGGAGGCAAAATGTAATATATTTAAAAAAACAAAAAATAAAAAAAAACCGTAGTTACTTTTAATTTTAAAATTGTAATTGATTTCTTAAGTTTATAATTATTAAAAATAGAAAATATATATAAAAGAATTAAGCATATCTCATAACATTAAAAGTTTTTATTTGTTTTGTATTTGATTTGTTTATAATTTTATAATTGTTTGTTCAATAAAATCGATTTCATTCGGAAAGATATTCACGTATTTGTTATTTTAGGTTAAAAATATTTTCATTATTTTTAATAAATTTCTAATAATATTTCAATTTTAAACAAATAAAATGCAAAAAGTTATATAAATATAAATAAGTTATAAAAAAATATTATTTTATTCGTCGAAAGTAGCATCATAGAGTTGTGGCATGTGTAAGACGACAACATACCTTTGGGGGTTTTCGCACTTAAGCAACTATGGGGGGACTTTATTAATTAAACATTACCTCTGAGGGTTTCTCGTAATTTATCATTTATTACTTTTCAAATAACATAAGGGTAAAACGGAAAAGATACATTTTCTGGGAATTTAATCGGTCAAACGCTTGTCAGAAGGCGATTTTTGTAATTACACAAATATGAGGGTTTTTTTTAATTAGGCTTTACCTCATGAGGGCTTTCATAATTTGCCCTAATTATTATAAAGTATACATGTAATACTTATTTATTAATTATTTTTTATTTTACCTTTTTAAGTTGGCTTCTATTTGTTATATATTCATTTCTTAGGTGACTGATTTGACTTCAAATTTTCTAGATCACATAAGTATGTGTTAACAACAACATATATAATGACACCTGAGACTGGACTCAAATTGTAAATTTGGACACAGGTTCTCGAGATTTCAATACTTACAATTTTCATCGATAAATTTGGTAAGTTTCCTTTATATTGTTTCATCAATAATTGAGGATTTTTTTGATTAATTTTGGAAGGTTTAGTTCCAGTTAGCACCCTCGAGATGTACCATTTTGACACTTTACATCGCTACAAAAAAAAAATAATATCACGATCACCCTGACATATTTTAAGGTTAATGAAGACAATTTCATGTTTTAGTAGCATTTGTAAATCAAAATTTTCTTTTATGTGATAAATATATAATTCTAAAATATAATTCTGATAAATAAATTACAATTTTTTTGTATATGTACCACTTTTTCGGAATTGGTAAAAAAATGATGATTTTTTTTGTATGAAACGATATTTTTTATGTAGTTTGGTGAAAAAATATATAGTTGAATGATGGAAAAGTAATAAATAAATTAATATTTTTTACACAGAAAATAAATATTTTTGTATGAGTGTAGTCATCGATGGTATTTTGATCTTTGCAATAGTATATATTTTTGTGGTGGAAAGTGTCAAGTTCAACTTTTTTAGTTCTTCTCCCCACCATTCAACCATTTTCTCACTAAATTACTTAAAAATTTCCGCAAATTATACGTTTTTTTCTTTTTGCTAAAACAATTGGCGTGCAATGTGAATGATTAGTTGCCTTTTGAGAGTGCAAAGTGCTATTAATATTTTTCGGGAGTGCAAAGTGCCGAATGGCTATATTTGGAATGCCAAGTGGAATAATTAAGTCATTTCGAAAAGAGAAAAAATGAAATGAAGTTGTAAAATCATCACAAAATTTCAATTATTTTGGCTAACATATTTAGGGTTTAGGGTTAACATATACATCATTGCAAATATTGTTAATTTACTCATTTTCTTGTGTTACAATTTCAATTTTGTGTTTCTCGGTTATGAATATGATCACATGCGTTGGGAATAGATGTTTCGTTGTGTTACATTATATTACAAAAAATTGTATAAAAATTAATCACGTCAGTGAAAAGCGCAATGATATTGATGACGCACAAAAAACTGTTATTTCGCTCACTCGAAATTAAGCAAGAAAAAGGAAAGGAAAAAAAAAATTTCAGGGAAATGGATCAATGAAATCCATGTTCTTGCAAACTTTTGAGAATTTGTCTTGCTTACTATGTGAATGAGAAGTCTTCTGGACCTATAAATCAGGAAAATCAGTGTATTTGAGTTGCTGATATTATCTTCA